TATATATATATATATATATATATAGTAAGAGTGTTTTCAAATAATTTTTGCTTATCTCAAAGTTAACCACATCAGTCTAGCACATTTGAAAAAATTAATTTCTTGAATGTTAATCCCAAAACTTGAATTATGAAGCTGACCTAAAAACTCACTTACTAGTAGATCAAACTCTAGAGTTATAATGTGATGATCTTACAGTGGAAGAGTAAGGTAACTTAGAGAAAAATTCTCTACAAATTCTCTAATCCTGCTTTGGTAAGGGTAATATAATACCAAAATAAATTTAAGCTAAGCCGCACTGCCACGGCCCATTATATATAACCAGGCTTTGGTATTCCTTTAAAGGGAAAATGGATTGAGCATTCATTCATTCCCGGCCCAAATATAATTGGGCTTTGATACTTTCCCACATTTTAAAATTCTTTTTGAACTCAAAATAAAAAATAAAGATGTTTCTTTGGGAAAATCCCCCTCAGGGCAAAGGCCCAACGACGCCGACTGGACCAACGACGCAGAGAATCAGAGACAACATCAATATTTCTGCCCCTGACCGGCCGCTAGAATCGGAGGACGAACGATGTCGATTCTGTGGGAGAAGAGCGAAACGTGGAGGTGGATTGTAAGGAAGACGAGGGACTCCAAGCCGTTCTTCCTCACCTTCGCCACCCTCTGCGGCGTCGTCCCTGGAGTTATTGGTTACTGCGTTATGCAGGCTACCAACTCCCGTAATGAACAACTCGAGGCCCAGCTTCGCCAGAACGCCCGCCCCGACTCCCTTGTAAGAACCCACTTCTATATTAAGCTCTTAATCTTTTTTTCCACTTCATGGGTATTTGATAATCTAGATGCCTGAGTAATAGAAAGTTGATCATGTTACAAAGGTTGAATCTTTTTTAAGTAATGGATCTAATTTGCTTCAATTCATGGGTATTTGATAGTTAGATGCCTGATTTCTGGAATTTTGATCGTGTTACAGAGGTTGAATCCTTTATATGATTAGGTGTCTGATTACTAGAATTTTGAACATGTTACAAAGGGTTTCTGCTGAATCTCTTATCTGTTATGAATCTGATCATTTGGTATTTGTCTTGATGAAGATTGAAGTATCTTGTAGGGGTTTATGCTTTCATCAAATTTAAAGGCAAATGTTCCACATTGTTTACTAGTTTGAGTTAAGCAAAGCATCATTTTTATACTTTTAAACATTTTTCATTTTTAAGGGAAAGCATTGTCTATTCTAATTTCTTGGGGTTGTTTCTCTAGGGTTGATCTTTTGATTAGATCAGTAACTTTAGTTTACATTAATGAATGTGGTCAAGTTAATGTTTTTAGAGCAGTAAGCTCTTAATAGTGTTTGTTTCTTCAAGGCATCTCTCTCCAAATATAGAAAATACAGTGATTGTGTTGCTTGTTGAATTTGTTTATCAGATGATGGGAAGAGTAAACCGAGAGAGACTGGCAGAATACCTTGGGGAACTGCAGCGAAAAGAGGATACAAATGATCGATATGTGGCTGCTCTTAGGGGAGAGACATTGACGAGGAACCCTTATCAGAGAATTCAACCCATTCCAAAGCAGAACAGCACAGTCGACAAGCAACAGAAGACCGATAAGGCTTAAGTAATTCGCGTTGGCAGCCAGAGGTCTATTTTGACGTGAAATTTTCTGTGACTGGAAGAGAAGAAGAAAGTTTTCTGTTGAAAATGCTACTTATTCTTGCCTGTCTTTTAAACTGAAATGTTTTCTGTGGCTGGAAGAGAACGAGCAAGTTTCCTGTTCAAATGCTACTTAATCTTGCCTGTGTTCTGTACAGAGCTCATCTAAGCTACTCCTGGATATTAACAGCATCGTTCAAACTCTTTATCTACCTGCTTTATTTTGTTTCACTTCTCTCTTCTTTAATTGATTTGAAATGTTATTTTTTTCCTTTTTTATTTTTATTTGCTGGTAGTTGATGGTTATTCTTGGGATTTAAGCATATCGGCTTGATTCCACATTTTGCCAGTCCAAAACAATGTCATTGGATTTCCCTATTCTAACAGGAGAATTTATGTACTGCGTAGGAAATTGCTTTACACAGTCAGGAAACATCGAGTTTAGTTTAGAGATCAACAGGTACAAATTCAGGTATATACAAGCACACAAGCATCAGATCAGTTTGATAGAAGAAAGATACAAGCACACAAGCATCAGATCAGTTTGATAGAAGAAAGACGCATGTACATGCTGGAAAAGTGTCAAAGCCAGAGGCAACTCAGGCATGCTTGACTCAGCAAAGGTACAAACAGCCGTCAAGCAAAGACCCTCAGTCGATTGGTGATCCTCTGGCGACATATTGGACAGTGGTCTATTTTTGATCCACATTCTCCGCAAGTCTGTAATGAACCAAGTGATTGTTAATCAAAACTATAGAATGGTTACTGATGGGTAAATAAAGAAAAAACATGAATAAGTTGAGAGTGCAACCCACCATGTGTCCACAGTTGAAGGCCATGTCCTTGGCATTTGTCAGACAGATTGGGCATTCCTGCATTGAAATTACAAAAAGAGAGGAAAATAGTTAAGAGAGAGCAAGCCAGTGATCAGTAAGGCTTATCAAATGAAAAATGAAGTTATAATCATTCTTGTTCTCCCTTGATTCCTTCGGTTTGAGATGCTAGATGATTACATCAATGCAGAATAAAGCATCCAAGAACGGCCATACCTTAGTACTATCATCCGAAACAGGTGCCGACATGTTGTTGGTGGGTACACGCTCCGGCGCACGGGGTCTTGGAGTGTAAGGTAGTGGAGGAGGGCGCGGAACAATTTTCTTTGCTCTTCCAGTTCGATGTCTTTTATCCAATGCAATACATAAAGGAGTGAGCATTTATAAAAACATTTCAATCTTATAGCATCACTAATTGAAAATTCGGTCAGACTGAGCTAGGGTCACTCAAACAAAATTCATTAATCATTTTTGGCAGCATTATTGTAAGAATCAGAGCAGCACCTAGACTTGCAGAAAAGGCAAGTTTTATTTACCCCAAAAAAGGGGCAAGTTTTACCCAGGAAAACAAATAGGCTTAAGAATACAAAAGTTTTAGTAAAACCTACCCAAGTATGCCAAGTTCAATAGTTGCTTTGTACTGAACGGGGATCTCCATAAGGGCAGCAAGAGCAAAGGCAGTTTCTTTCTCGGATGGAGTTTTATTCTTGGACATGATATCAGTGAAGTTAACAAACTGCAGGCAAGAAACATAGGGTCAAAAGGTTATCATATGTTATTACAACCAAATTGGATTGCATTTTCTGCTACTAGAGTAACACCTGAAAGTTGTCAAAGTCACGAGTAGGAATCTTATCATCAAATTTCTTCATGTCTTCCCAAGGTCCATCACCAACACCAACAAGAACAATTGCCAGTGGATATGAACTGGATAAAAGACCCTAGTTTATTAGTTAATACGTGATGACTTAATGGTGTCTCCCTGAAATAAAAATACTTAGTAGCTGTAAGCTTGCTGGTTATATGATCTCTAATGTACCTACTAGTTCAGTCAAAGAATTTGGGATTTGCATATTGAAGTTACATTAATCTATATTTGTTAGTGGAAGGCTAAAGTGAAACAAAATAATTCATCTACAAGACCCCCCACCTTGCATCAACAATTGACCTTATTGTTTTTTCTTCTTGTTGACTCAATGATTTATCATCTGTATCAACGCTTCTTGTGACCTTCATGATTAGTCAAAAAGAGAATAAAAATGAAAACTGTAATAGCAAGATAATGTAGAGGCAAATATGCACAAAAACAAGGAAAGAAGGGAAACAAAAATGGGATTGAAATTGAACCTGGCCATCTGCAATAATAACCAACACATGAAATTGGCCTCCGCTGTTTTCCACAATATCTATTGCAGCATCAATTACTGGTGCGTAAGAAGTTGGCCCTATACCACAATAACATGTACCTTTGAAGTTCTGACTTTCATGATAAAATGGAGAGATTGGTATAATGAGATGATGTGATGATGTTAAGTACTCCACAAGTTCAACCATAGTCTCAGTGCAAAAGCAGATTAACAAATTGAATCCATGGTACCACAACGAAGAAGAAAATACTAACCAGAAAGTCGCAGGTTTGGAACTATCTTTTTGTAGCAATCCAAGACTTCCTCAAAACCATAGCAAGGAGAGCGATCACTATGAAAACTAAACACATCCCGATCACCAGTGGTGACTGTGACAGAAAGATTAAACGTGTGATTAAAAAAAAGTAGCATAATAATCAGATCATCTAAACTCCTGAAGAAAATATCCTACCATCACCAAAGCCGAAACAAGGAATCAAGTTGTCATCATCAAAGGGTGCCATAGTCTTTCCTATTACAGATATGGCTTTCTCATATGGATTTGGTGTATCTCCAAGTGCATGCAGACTCCGATTATTGAATGAGACCTTGCCTTCAATAATAACATTGATGCATTGGCTTCCAACAGGTACCAAGGAAATACAGAATATTTCAAAAATGTATAACAATTAACAACAGTAATTCCTGGCCATAGATACCAAATGTTCAGCTATAAATATCTTATTATACCAATCTAAACCACTGGCTGATGGATCATTGTGTTACTGTTACACCAGGATTGAATAATATTTTGGAAAATTTGCAAAAGAGAATCATAGTGAAACAGAAGGGTGAAGAACATAATTAATCAAAAAAAGAAGAATAAGGAAGGGGTATTGCCATATTAATGGCTGACACTATGATTAAATAAATCAAATTTCATGCAATATTTTTAATATGAAGAGATGGGAAAACTTTTTCAACATACTTGGTTAATGAATGTATTTTCTACACTTAAGAATACCTGTCCACTCATTGCTTTTGGTGAAGTCAATCCCAATGATGAGATTAGATGATTCTAGCCCACCATCTCTCAAGGCTTTTGTAACCTGTTAAAGGGAAGAGCAAAGTAAGAAATTCAAGAACTCAACAAAGAAGATTAAAGGAAATATTCCCTCCATCTTTCTCCAAGTTAAATATTTCACTAGTCATTATTATGTAATCTCTAATATTCTAATGTCAACGTTGGCACCGTATTTAGTATCCTCTTTTTCTTAGAATTTAAATAGGTTATTCTATCAAAAAAGAATTTAAACAAATTCATGACTTCTATTTTCACAGAATACTCAAGTGATAAAATTTGAGTCGGAAAAATTTCAGCTTTCTGTGTTTCAAAGAAACCAAGCAAAGCCAATTACTCTTTCTAAATCATCTTCATCCTGAAGAAGCACAAGATTGTCCAATAATGCCTTAACCTTTGTCACATAATCTGTGGCTCACAGTTCTAGACTTTAACAAACGCCATGGATGCCATAGGCAGATCTCAGGAGACAATCTCAGTTCAGTTATGAGCATTTCAGTTTACCATGCTCATGGTTCTCCAAATTTTAAATCCAAATATAAAGAAGTAAGAAAGAGGGGATGATTCCTGGCCGGCAACAAACTAGGATATATCCTATGATCTAAGTCAGTGAACCATGCAGAATGAATGCCTTATAGGCAGGGACGGAGCCAATGAAGGACAAGGGGGGGGGGGGGGGGGGGCAGCCGCCTCCCAAACTTTTGAAAAACATTTAATATGGTACTCTAACTTTCATTTGTTAAAAATTGTGTTATAGTATGAGTTTCAAGGATCATTTCAAATTTAGAGAGAACATTTACAACTTAAATAAAAGGTTTTTAAAAAATAAGGATATGATTTTAAATAAAATGAACTTTATGACAATTTAATTAATTAGGAATTTGAGTTCTTAAACATTTCCTTGTCTATTAAGTCTTAAAAAAGAAAACTTTGATTCTTTATTTAATTAATTTTAAATTTACAGTTTTCTATTTTTTTTTATTTTTTCTTAATATTCTATATAATAATTAAATTTTTTTATGCCATTGAGGTACATTTTTACCTTTCATGATTGAATTTATCATTTTTTGTGTTAAATCAATTAAAATTAGAGTTCACTTTCTATAAGAAATATTCTACTATTTTTTAATATTCTAGTATTTTTTTTTATAATATTAGTGTTTATCAACATGATTTCCAAAAAATTAGGAGGAAAATATCCCAAATTACATTATTTCACTAAAACCAAAATACTCTCGTTCTTACTTTAAAAATATGTTGTTTTTTGTCTTTTTCAAAACAAATTTATTAAAATAATGTAATTTTATGGTGTTTTTCCTTTTAATTTTTTAGAGATTTTATTAACGAACATATTTTTCTTTTTTAATTCATTCTTCAATTAATCGTTTATGATTTATTACTATAATATTTTATTTTATATTATAATATATACATTTATTTTTAATTTTTGTTAAGAATATATCAATAAAAAAATCACAAGTAAATCTTTTTATAAGAAAAAGAAGATTTAGAAGAAACTGAATTAGTATCATAAAATATATTCTTGAACAGTCAAACCTTAAATACTAATTTTCGCCCCCTAACTAAATTTTCTGACTCCCTCCCTGGCCTTAGGGTCCATTCTAATGTTGGAGGACAAGCATATTGCGCACTGAGCAGGACCTCAAACCTATCGGAATCAAATTCTTCATGTGGGTCTGGCGAATAAGATAACTCAGCATTATGAATACAGTGTTGTTCTCAGCATCAATTGAAGCAATAATGAGCACACTTGGTCCAGGGGACCACCCTGATAATGCAATTTTGTAAGGTTCCACTAAATGCTCAATAAAAGGATTAGTATGTGGGACTCTTATAATTGGCTAAGCTTAAAATCACTTCTTATCTAACTTTCTTCTCCAGGACACAAAAGAAAGCAACAATCATAAACTCGTTGACGTACGTAAACGCGTAAACGCGTAAACTGCTCACCATCTTTTAAGTTAGGTAGAACCTAATCTCTAAGCTCAAAGTTATTCCAAGGCATCAGCTTGAACCATACCCTTCTCGCTTTGAGTATTCATGATACCTTTGTCTTTTCTTCTAAGAAACACTTTGGACTTTTTAGTTTCGTAATCATGTTTTATGACTTAGACTCTACCGTATTGCAAAACATGAGATAGCTTCTAATCCAAAAGTTTAAATTGTCCAACCTACCCAACAGTATTTCGTTTTTGGTTTCTACAAAAGTTTAAATTGTCCAACCCACCAACAGTTTTTTGTTTTGGGTTTCTATAAAGTGTTGTAGACCGTATAACACTTACTGTGGATAAAGTGGGTTCCTGTGATTAGTACTATCCTCATTTAATGGCTCTATTTGTAATTTGAACTGCAAGACAACGACTCTTTAGTCTCGTGTCCATTTTAAAGATAAAGGTCGTTTACCTTTTTGTTCTGTAAGGTTCTCTCACTTCAAAATTTGAAATTCAAAATTTAAATTTCAAATTAACCCATTTCATTTTTTTTTCTTTCTTTTTTTTTTTCTTTTTTTTTGGGAATTGGAACAGAGTCAACAGACAGTCAATTGACCATACAATATCTTAATAAAAAACTGTTTTACAGGACCGATATTATTGAACTGATTTTTTTTTTTTTTTGAGAATGGAAATTGGATGCAGATATTATTGAACTGATATTCATCATAATCCTTTCTGGTTTCCCCTCAAAGCAAAATTAGTTCTGATACCATCCACTTAATCTTGAAAAAGCACTGAATAGCAAGAAACAATGTTTCTAAACTAACTTTAAACAGGAAAAAAGATTAGAGAAATGAAGAAAAGGGAAGAGAAACCTGGTCAATTGATGAGAAATTGTCAGGGATGAATTCATATTTCTGCTTCTTCT